CATTGTTGAGTGAAACAATGTTTCCTCCATTGGAATGTAGTGAAGCCGACTCAATACATTTCAATGGCTTTGCGAAGTCCGTTTTTGCTCATTTAAAAGTGCCTTACAATGTTTGGAACATGTTTTAAATGCTTGCAATCGTTAGCCCACCTCCTGAACCCTATGCAAACTTAATTTGGTGTTGTTCTGAGTCGTCTTTAATTTTTGGTGATTTTTTGTTTTCCCTATTTAAATGCATTGAACTGTCCATTCAGTTGATTTAAATGGGGAAAATAAAAAAATCACCAAAAATTAATGAAGACTCAGAACAAAACCAGTTCCAGAAGGCTTTTAACTGAAATAATATTAGCTGTGGGTCCGATGGCAATTTTATATATATTTTAATTGTATTTTAATTGCTACATAACTTTATTGTATTTTAATTGCTGTAAGCCGCCCAGAGACCTTTGGGTAGCGTGGGCGGCATATAAATTAAATAAATAAATAAATAAATTAAATAAATAAAATGTTTTGCCAAATGCTTTGTTCCGTCTTCAGAATCTAGCTGATACTATTCAGAATAGTGTAAAAATCTTGTTACTGGTTCAAACACCACTCTCTCGCCACCTTCAAAATAGTCTGATACGTACTGTAACATAATTTACTTTGAAGCTTAGTGTGAAACTTGGCAAGAGGCCACATACAAATTCTGAAAAAGTATAACCTTAATTCTAGTTGCTGGCCGTAACCAGAGCTAAACTGTTAAATGAGTTGCTGATAAAGAGGTTAGTTATTCTTTAAAAGTATGTAAATCCTATTCATTCAGTGGGTCTACCCTAGTTTGGACTGATGTTTAAATTTAGGCCGTGGAGTGGAATATAGTGCAATACTGTGGTTAACAGAAACAAACAGGGACAGCACTGCTTAAAACTCTGCATATTATGCAATAAGTAGCTGTGTAAGACAGGTATCTGATTTTGATAGTATCAGCCCTACAGCTATGGTTAGTTCATCCTTTTTGAGTTTTAACGCTTGAGTCTTGTAAATAAGCCCATAAAAGCTACTAACCTGCAAAAGGTTTTACCAAGTCTTGGGGCCTGATCAGAGGAGTTATAGTGATTATGTACATTTCTGAGCTGGACATGGAGAAGAGACCTCCTGTCCTCCAGTAGCTTCTATGCTACGTGTAGAAAGGTATACAACCTCTCTTCCACTAGCATGGGATTCCTGGATTTCCCTCCATTTCCTTCCTGATCAAACAGACAAGGGCTTAAATAAAAGGCTGCTCATAATGCATTTGTGTCTTTGAGAGTGTAAAGAAGTAATTTTATGCAAAACCTATGAATATCCCATAGAGAGTATTGTTTGCTGTTTATGATCCTAAGATGTAACTGGGTCTTGAAGGGTAGATGAAATCATCAGTAAGAGAAAGGCCATGTGTTTTTTGAACAATGATCTACCTGAACAGAATTATCTTCCAGTTTGTATGTTTGTTTAGCATTTTACATACTTGGGACAAGTAAGTTACAATTGGTTGTACCAATGTCCTTGAATTCCACTGCTCTCCTTAGAGTGTTTTGTCTGCACATATGCCAATTTGCTTTCTTATTTGACAAAGATATCTGGCTTTTGGTTCTTACTGAAGTTAATTTTTTTTCTTTTCCAGGGAATGCAGAGAGCTACCAATGTCACCTATCAAGCCCACCATGTCAGCAGAAATAAGAGGGGTCAAGTCGTGGGAACTAGAAGTGGCTTTCGGGGCTGCACAGTCTGGCTAACAGGTATAATTTATGACAAATTATAAATTTGGGCTACGTGGTTTAGTATTTTCTCTGCCATTTTAAAATGATAGCAAGGCAGGGAGAGTACCAGCAAAAAAAATGCCCAGTACCTTTCCTGGAATCATAAACTTAATCCTGTATCAGCTACCTTAGATAATAGATGCTCTTTCTCTCGTGTTGCTACGTATTTGGTCATATAATGTTAATCTAATGATTGAGGGTTTTAATTTTTATGCGTACATACACAGACATACAACTACACTTCTTAGCTACCTTGGGCTTCTTTAGGGAGAATTTTCAGAGGAGGCAACGAGGCTTTCCTTTTTTATTTCCTAATGAGTAGAGGAAGGATTTCTATGACATTTCACATTTTCTCTGTAAGGTTGCAGAAAAATAATGATATGTCATAGAAATCCTCCACCAACCTACTCAGTTTCTCTATTAGGACTGAAACTGGGAGTGAAATTACATTTTACTGGGATTCAAAAAGGTAAACCTGACCTATAAGAATGCTGAACCAAGACTAAACACATTTTTGAGACAGAACTGTATGCTTAAAGCAAACCTGGGGAAACAGTAGTGTCACAGTTGCAAGGGTAGACAAATCTACTTGCACGTAACTACTCTTAAAGTGTACTGTGGAGTAAATATGGTTGAGAACAGACTATGTTTCAGCTCTCCTAAACATAGTGTACTAAATAAACGTTTGTGATTTTTTAATGTTAGTTCATGATAGTTAATCTATTTACTGTTTCATGCATGGGATTTCTAGACCTGCAAGAGTAATTGTGCATGTTGTGGATTTTTTAAAATCACTGTTTTTAATCCAATGTAGGGCTGTCGGGAGCTGGGAAGACCACAGTTAGCATGGCGCTGGAGGAGTACTTGGTATGCCATGGCATTCCATGCTATACCTTGGATGGGGACAACATCAGACAAGGCCTCAATAAGAATCTTGGCTTCTCGCCAGAAGACAGGGAAGAAAATGTCCGCCGAATTGCTGAAGTTGCCAAGTTGTTTGCAGATGCTGGCTTAGTGTGCATCACCAGCTTTATTTCTCCTTATGCCCAGGTGAACACATTGCACCCTCATTTTACAATTTTGAGTACTGTTAGTAGTTGCAAGAATATGGCTAAGATGTATGTTTTTGCTTAAAAATGATCAACAAAATGCAAGTTAATCTTTGGCTCAGATCCAAAGAGACTAGTCCTCATGGTGGTTGGGAGGATGCCTGGAGATTCAGGAATGGCTTGAAGCCATGTGGCAAAAAGGCAGCCCTTTGGAGATGCAGCAGATTCATGACAGCATGGCTGTGTTTTCACAAAGCAGTTCTCCAGGATTCTACAGAAGTGTGCTTTGTTGTACATAAACAGTGCGTTCGTGCACACGTTGTACCTTATCCTCTTCTTGCCATTGAGAGCAGCTGCAGAAATTAGAAACTGGCCTGGAAGAAGGAGCTTACTGTTACCTATGAACTGGGATTCCTAGTTTGTCACTCACCAAAGAAACCAGGAGCCATGATTTGCAGTTGGTGGCTGGCCTGCTTCGAATTGAAGAACTAGGAGTCCCAGTTCAAAGGTAACACTTAACTTTATCTTCCTGGTGAATTTCTGATTATTGTGGCTACTTTCTCTGCAGGAAAAGTCAAGCAGGACCCAGCTGGGCAGTGCATAGGAGAGTGCTGCTTATGAATGATAGTTTTGTGTAAACAAGGCCAATATTTTTTTATAAAAGCTACATTAACCCCTAGGTTCAGTAATAATATTAGAATCTGGAAGATCTCGCTATTGAAGATTTGTAACATAAGCTTTACTAGTTTTCCAAATTAGTAATTGAATACACGGAGGTGTGCACAAAAGCACAGACTTGCAGCAACCTTTTGTTTTTTGCATTTGCAGCAATATCATGTCAGTTCTCAGAATTTTAGAGATAGCAACATCTGTAACTTCGTGCTTTCAGCTTTCTTACTGCTTCCTTCTTTGAAACAAATTTTGTTTCTGTTTCGTCTTCAGTAGGCACAGCCAGAACAGTAATATCTGAATTAGAATTCAGATACAGAAATACATTAATTTTCCTTTAGAAGATGTAAAACAGTTCATTTGTCTTCAGTAGCCTTGCAGGAAGGCACCAATCGCAAGCTGTCTCGCATGTTTCTGACCGTCTTGGGATGCTCATGGTTTCCAGTCTTGCAACTTTCTTCTTTCTTTTAGGCAACAGCAGTTCCAAACATACTTGCTGCCCCTCACATTCAGCATACAGTTTAAAGGGGGCGGTTCATTTTTTAAACACTTGCATACTGCCCTTCATTTGATTCGGATTTTAAGGCAGCGTACAGCATAAAACCAGCACAGTGGAAGGAAAATAGAAGATTTTCAGGCAAGCATTGTGAAAGATCTTATGCAAATGTTGGAATGCCCTCTATTAGAACAGAATAGCTTTTGCCTGGTACCTAAAGTATTGCAGTGGTGTCACTAGGCAGATATTTTTGCAAGAGAACATTCAAGTGGCTGTGTTGTATAATGTATAATAATAATAATAGGATAATGTAGCCAAAGACATCTCGAGAGGGCTAGATTGCAGTAGGCTGGTCTTTAAGGACTAGAATACATTTGATAAGACTGGTACACTGGTTTCTAACACTGACCACCTTCAAACCTTATTGATTACTGTACTCCTCAACACACACCACACTGAGAAAGGGGCTGAAACTAGCTCCACTTTGTATGTCCAAAGCAGAAGGCGCACTGTTAAAATACAGTGTCTCTTTGACTGAAATCTTGCACTAAGTCACAGCTAGAATAGGCCCATTGAATCATTTGATATTTAGTGAGGCAACAGCTATTTAAGTTCCGTTGATTCAGTGGGCCTACTCTAGTTACAATTTACTTTTGGGTTTCAGCCAGTTGTTATTACTGTTGTGTGTCTTCAAGTTGCATCTGACCTATGGTGACTCTTAACAGGGTTTTCAAGATATGTGAAATGTTTAAGGAGTGGCTTTACCATTATCACTCCCAGTGAGTTTCCATGGCTGTGCATGGATTTGAACCCTGGTGTCCTGAATCCTAGTCCCACATTCTGTTGCCATGCTGGCTCTCCACAGTGCAACCTAGAACAGCCCTAACTCTCCTCTAGAGTTTGGAAATGTACTGGGGGATTGTGGTAAGCAGGTTTACTGTGCAATAGACTCCAGAGAGCCTCTGAAAAGCCTCGTGGTTCAGTGGATAAGCTGCAATACTGCAGCCAGATCTCTGCTCAGAAGCCAGGTTTAATGCCAGGTAGCTGGCTTGAGGTTCACTTAGCCTTCCATCTTTCCAAAGTTGGTAAAATGAGTGCACAGCTTGCTGGGAGGGAGGGCAATGTGTAGCCTGCATAATTAAAATTGTAAACTTTAAATGCTATAGGGTGTTATATAGGCAGTATACTGCTTTTTTTGCTCTGCTCCAAAGCATAATGGTTTCAACCTCTGCTCCTCCCAGTTTCCAAGCATGAGAGGAGGGTTGCAAATTGTTGTTCTATTGCACTTTTGAAACTCTGTGTTCCAGTCAACATTAATGAATTGCATAAATATTGTACCTAGGTTACAAGATTACTGCTTCTGTTTAATCATAGCTTGCATGGCTAGATGTGTAATACTGTATAGCCATAGCTGGGCATATTGGTTGTTACAATAATATATGCATTTGCAACATTACTTTTTTGTTTTTGCTGTTCACAGGACCGTAACAATGCCAGGCAAATTCACGAAGTAGCAAGTCTGCCTTTCTTTGAAGTGTTTGTGGATGCACCGCTGTATGTTTGTGAGCAGAGGGATGTGAAAGGCTTGTACAAAAAAGCTCGTGCGGGAGAAATAAAAGGTGAGCCTCAATGTTAATTCTTCTGTGGTGTTGCACTTTTACACCCCTGATTGTTGGTGGTGAGCAGACTACATTGAGATCTCCAGGAAGTGATAATTTGCAGGAGTATGTGAAAAGTGGAGTGATTGCTGTCGTTTCTCTGATTATTTATATCTGTGAGTCATTTGCAAGGTTTTCTGACATCCAGTGGTTTTAAAAGCAGTGACAACAAAAAGTTGTGTTTTCCTCCTAAATTAGCCTGCTGAAGTCAAGGAAGATTGAAGTGAGCTAAATAGGAATAGGTTCATGTGCAAAAGCATTTCCATATGAGCTTCCATGTGGTGCTAAACAAAATTACCGGGCTGAGAATATGGTGAACGACACTTTTCCTTTTTGAGCCTCTATTTTGTCTCTTGGTCTAGATTGTGGCCTCTGGATTCTAGTGAACAGTTTGCCCACCCTGTTGTGATGGTTCTCACTTTCCATTATAGATTTGACCTCAGGGACAATCTGGATTTCTGACCTCTCCAGCCACACTTCTTGTTGATTGTGACAATGAAATTTGGTTGAGAAGTAGTCAGTTTAAGTGGTTGGGGTTGTACTGAACTGCATTTCTTCAATGAGGAAGAAGGGGGTGGTTGTAGTTCCATGATGGAACTCATGCTGTATATGCAGAAGATTTCTGGTTCAGTCCCCAGTATCTCCAGTTAGGCTGAAAGATCTCTAGTCTGCAGTACTAGAAAGCTATTGCCATTCATTTAAACAAGACTGGGATAAATGGGCCAATGTTCTAACTCAACATAAGGCAGCTTTCTATGATCACAGCCTTTTCATTACCATTATCCCCTTCATTTTACAACAACATTGTCACTTTGGTATACCATACAATGCAAGTGTAGGATCTGTGTTTAGTTCGCTTCAGTCTGTTGTATAATCCTGCTTAGTTTGTGGTCACACCATGACACCACATGCATGTGTTACATTATGATACACAGCCTCTTTGCATAAATGTTGTCTTTGTTCTCACTGGGGACACCTTGATGTTCCACACTATCTTGATAACGGTAATAATACTCATAAAGTAATCTCACACAGTCATCTGGTATCTGTGGTGATGGCATACAAAAATGTCTGCAAGGTGGTTATTAACGGTGGTGAGTGCATAAATTGAGCGGTGCAAAGAGCAGTTTGTCAGTCGACTGATAAAACTAATCAAGCGCTAGGATCAGCTCCCCATCTCTTTCTTGATGATATTAGATAGGTTGTAAAACACAAGGTCCTTTGATGGGATGGGAAATGCAGTGCATGTGTGGAAACGTAACAGTCTGCTCTGGCAGTTTCTGCAAGCATAGCATTGCAATCATGATATCCCAGAGACTATGTGTATACTGCATACAAATTATGTCTGGAGCATATATGAATTGTACCATTTGTAATTTTGCACTATTTTCGTGTTGTGGAATAGAGTAGATGTTACTTCAAAACAGGCATTAGGAGTTTTAAGTGGGCACAGTTAAGAGAATGAGCTGTGCCTGTAAGTGATATTTAGTGTTATCAGGCATTGTTGTTGCTCTTTAAGTGCCTTACTTTTTATCCCATCGCAGAATAGCTGTGTTGGGTTCATCCCTTTAACCAAAGGTTGGCCAGCTTTTTCAAATGGAGGGCTGCATTTCTTGAGAGGATAGTATGTTCTGGGATCAAAGCCACTGGTAGGTTGGGCTGAAGCAAGCTGTGGAAGAGTGTGAGCAAAGGACGGAGAGTGAGCCGTCCTCACAAGCATCTAAAGAAGAAGGAGGCGGAGAATGCGTTGTGGGCGAATTAATCAAGTTAGATGATGAAGAAGGGGGCGCTAATAAAGCCATAGAGGTGTTCCTAGCGGAAAGAACCAGAGACTGGGGGGAGGAGTCGGGAGATTGGAGATGGGACGAAGTTATAAAGGAGGAGAGAGGAGAGAGAGGGGAGGAAGGAGAAAAGGAAGAGAAGAGTACCTAAACGAGAGAGACGGGTACTTTTTATCCCATCGCAGAATAGCTGTGTTGGGTTCATCCCTTTAACCAAAGGTTGGCCAGCTTTTTCAAATGGAGGGCTGCATTCCTTGAGAGGATAGTATGTTCTGGGATCAAAGCCACTGGTAGGTTGGGCTGAAGCAAGCTGTGGAAGAGGCCGGCTGTCTTTTCTTTCTCTTTTCCTCGAAATTGGGGAAGTGGCTTCTGTTGCCCTACAAGCCCCCCCCCCCCAAATTGCTCTCCCCAGCACCCTGCTCTCTGGGGGATTCTGGCAATCGTAATCCTAAAAGTTACTTTTTAAAGGTCTAGTGGACTGCTGAGGAGGGGACAGATTCTGGGATCCTAAATGGACTGCTTTTAGTGGGCTTTGAAATTAGTCAGAGAGCTACATGAGGTTAGGCTGAGGGTGTTTTTTTTTAAGCCAGGGACAGAATGTCCACTACTTTGACTTCAACAATAGTGAATAAAAAGTATTTCATTCTTGCAAGACAAACAGGCACAGTAAACATTTACCCTGTCTCCCATAGAGAGTCATTTTTGCTTTTTCTAGTTAGTTCATAGGCTGTTTCATACTTGTGAAAAGCACTGAATGTTGCCCCCTGTTCTGCAGGCGAGAAGAACATTTAAGCTTATGCTGTCTGATTTGGATGTATTATATTTTGGTAGGGAGAATGTACTGTGTGTGTCCAGACTGAAGTTTATATATCTATATATGCACATGTATGCTTTCTTTGAGCTTGATTTCCTGAGAGATACTAAATTACTGCTTTTGCTCACTAGAAGGAGCTCTCTTAAGCAATGTAACTGCATCTGATGACATACGAAAATATTTGGTCTCAGGATTATGCCACCAAGCTTTACCCTTCCAGGAAACTCATTAAGCTTTTTGCCCACGAGTCATAGCTTTTTATTATACCGTTGTGAAGAGATGTGAATGCCATTAGGTCACTGCAAGTTTCCTAATACAGTAGTGCCTCGCATTGCGCCGTTAATTCGTTCTGCAAAAATCGCTGCAGAACAAAAATGTCGCAATGTGAAAATAAAAAGCCCATAGAAATGCATTAAAATGCGATTAATGCGTTCATATGGGCTTAAAACTCACCGTTCAGCGAAGATCCTTAATAGCGCGGCCATTTCTGGTGCCTCTTAAGCGAGGAATCTGTCCCAGAAAACAGCGGGCGGCCATTTTGTTTACCCGGCGGCCATTTTGAAACCGCCGATCAGCTGTTCTAAAATTGTCACTTTGCGCTGCTCGGTTCCCCAGGGAACCGAACATCGCAAAGTGAAATTCCCCCATAAGAAACATCACAAAGCGATTGCTTTTGCGATCGCAAAAAATGTGTTGCAAAGCGATTTGGTCATAAAACGGAGCGATCGCTATGTGGGGCACGGACCCCAGGAGGTCCCTACTGGCTATCCATTGTATCGTGGCAAACGGAAGAGGCGAGAAGCTAAGAAAAAAAGTATTTGTGAGGAGTACAGGGACACGGACCCCAGGAGGTCCCTGCTGGCTATCCATTGTATTGTGGCAAACGGAAGAGGCGAGAAGCTAAGAAAGTGGGGAAGCCCAATCCTCTATCAGACTGATCCTGGCATAAGAAGAGAGAGCGAGAACACCACTATTGAGAGGCAACCAGGGAGGAGAAGCATGAAAGCCAGAAACACCCTGTTACCATATAGGGGAATGCCTTTTATCCTGGTCCTCACTCCTAGTATACTTTTACCTATTAACAGTAGGTGGAATATCCGAGAGTTTAGTGGAGAAAACTAGAAGTACTGGAGAACTGAACTTATCCTTTGTAGCTAGAACCAGAGAGCAGAGACTATGCTAATGGACCTTGAACCAATGCTAAGAACTAGGGCTGAGGGAAGCAGACTGATCTGGTTATTGTCCATGCCCAGTCCTGTTTAGTTTCAGCCCATTTGTCTGAGGTTTATGGATTCAAGGATGGAAGAGGGAATACCTGCTGGTCAAGTGGGGACTGGTGGAGCTCACTATTAAAAGCTGTTTGGGTCATTAATAACTCAATCTTATAATATCACTTAGACATGAGTTATGAAACCTCCAGATGTTCCCATCAGAACCAGCCACAGACTATTGGTGAGACGTGATGGGAATAATTGGTCATGCACATCTGGAAAGCCACAAGATCTCTAGCCCTGATTTACAGTATTTTAGATACATATTTAGCTTTGAACATTTTGTTAATACCACATGCTTCAAGAGTTGGCCAGGTTCTTTTCCTCTTCAGATTTTTGTGCACTAAAGCAACATGTTAATAACAATGATTGGAAGGGTTTGTAACTACCAGGAATATTCGATGAAGTTGCCCAAGCAAGCAGATATTTCAGTTAGTGGTTAAAATACACATGATATGAATTACACAATATGTACTGTAATTGCCCTTCTTGCTTATATTTATTAAAAAATAGTTATGTGGACTGCTGATCTGGATCAGGGCCACTGTATAGAGTGAAAGTGCAGTATATCCTTCCCTTCTCTGCAGCTGCCTCTCAAAATCACCCCATCCTTGGGCATTGACTAAAGGGAAGGAAAAGAAAGGCAATAATGGTAGCTCAAAGAAATCAATTGCTGGGCATATGACAGTAGGAAGTGGAGCAGGGAGCAGGTGGGGGGGATTAGTTGAGATTCTTTGCTCTTAGAGCAGTGCTTCCCAACTTTGAGCCCCCAGGTGTTCTTGCACTACAACTCCCAGAAATCCTGGCCAGCATAGCTGGTTGTGAAAGCTTCTGGGAGTTACAGTCCAAGAACATCTGGGGGGTTGCCCAAGGTTGGGAACCATTTTTTTTAAGACTAAAGAAGAACAGGAATGGCAGTTTATGCACTGCCTAAATAAATGTAATATGGATGTGGACTGCATTGGCTGAGAAGGAAAACTGAATTTCTGACTGTTGCAGGCATAAAAGTAGAAGGACATCTTAAAAGCAGCGGTGTTCAATTTCTTTCTCTCATGCAGGTTTTACTGGCATTGACTCCGAATATGAAAAGCCCGAAGCCCCTGAGCTGGTACTTAAAACAGATTCCTGCGATGTCAATGATTGTGTTCAGCAAGTTGTGGAACTTCTACAAGAGAGGGTATGAAGTCTTACACTACTAGTTTTTGGCCTCTTGTAAAGTTGTTGATGTGCTATCTGAAACACAGGTAAATGGCTGATTTGAAAGTACCGTATTTTTCGCTCCATAAGATGCCCTGAAACACAAGTAAATGGCTTATTTGAAAGTAACATGCAGTGTCTTAAATGACTGGTTGGATAGATTGGTTGAAAGGTTTTGATTGAGTAAAACAGAGAAGTGCCCTCTTCTTATTAAATTGTTTTAACAATTAAAGAACCTGGTTGAGAGAGAATGTCTCTTGACAGGAGTTATCTGCCCCACATGGAAGTCTTCTCAAATTGTGTTTACTCTGATAATATCTAGTGTAGCTTCTGAAAATAGATTTGTTCAGAAAGGGTTGGTGTACTAATATGCAGGCTATACTTACATAAGCCATTAATTGACAAAACTCATGCCATTGATCAGGTAGGATTTCTCAGACAATGTGACATCCTCATGTAGTAGTTTTTCCTTCTATGCACTTCATGCAGTTGAGAGAGAGAGAATCTACAAGGACTGGCACTAAAGTTGTGTTTCCTGCCAGCATGATCTCATGCTTCCCTGCGTTGGTGGCATGTATGCACAGAGGAGGGCTGCTGAATGCCTCTAGTTTGACCTCATGCGAACCCAATGTTCTAGGCATAAGAATAAATAATGGTGAGGAGGAGGATTAATGTACGGAGCAAATGAAGGCAAAAGGTATGCTATTGCTTTTGTATTGTTTCTGCTGCATTACCACGATTTTGTAAAACACAGAAGGTCGGGCTTTGTGAGGCATGGGAACCTCAAAGCTCTTTTTGTTTGATACATAGCATGAAAAGAGGAAAGAAATGAAGGTTCGCTGTGTGCCTAGAATGCTGGTAAAAATGCAGCAATACAGCAAATGCATTGGGTTTACATACCAAAACCAAGTGTAGGTTCCCACTGAAGGTCTAGTAGCAGAGAGGATAAGTTGCAGGCCAGATAACTCAGTCAATATGAAAAACAGTCAGTGTAACTGCTGAGAAGATTCAGTTGTAACTTAGTGGAAAAATGGAGGAATGTTTGAAAGGACTTTAATTTGCCTACATTCTCAAAGCGGTGGCATTTGTAATACTGTTTATCAATAAACTAGCTAATTCCATCATATGCATACATTGTTGTTTCCATTAGATGTTGCTGAGTCAGGATTCTGCTAATACTACAGTTTCTCTAAATGCGTTTAGTTTGATACTCTCTTGGTATGAAAACACTTCTTGATCCTCTGAAAGCTATTCAAATTAGTTACAGCATTGACCCATGCCATCATCGTGGTTCTGCCTACAGGCTATACATGTTCTATTCTGTTCCATTTACTGTAATGGAAAAGAGGATGTCATTTTTTGTTTTATTTTGCACCAAATATGTCAGTTTAGACCCAAAAGAAAGGAAATAATGGGTCCAGTAAATGTCCTGGAGCATATGTTCTCTGCTGAGTTACAAATATGGTTTTCCTTTGTTTTATTACTCAGAATAATTGGCTAGGTAAAGTTTCTCATTACCAAGTAATCCAAACTCTCGGACTTTGAAGTGTGGGTTTCAAGTGTGGCCTTCTGGAAGTGGAATCTTTTCAGCTACGCATTGTTTATTTGGCTCCATCCATTATAGATCTGTAGAAGATTTCATCACAGTCATCCATCCAAAACAAGTTTATTCAGATTGCGTGCATTGAAGTAGAACAGATAGAAACTTGGAGATTTTCAGAACCTTAATAAATAAGATAGTATTAAAAAAAATTAAATCAGAGGGCTAAGGGAGGCAAAAATTATGAGCAGTTTATGTGCAATTCAGTTACTGAAATTTTATAAAGATAATCTTTAGAAAAGGCATCTTTCTCCTGAAAACAAATTAATAGGTAGTGATACCTTGAAGATACTTTTTTGGTCACATAACCAGAAGTCTCATTTTTCAATGTACTGTTTCAATATTTAATCGCCAGCTTTCATTACCTCCTTGAATAGCCTCTGGCAATCCTCCTGTAAGTAGAGAAAAAGTTATGTTTACTCATTAGAAGGGGCATGTTGGAGCCCTTGAAGTCACGCCTGCAGTGACAAGTTGAGGATATAGTCACCTGCCCTAGTTCTGTTTTAGTTCTTACAGCCTAATAATGCAAAAATGTCCAGACCCTAATGTTGGCAAAGTGTGAAGGAAAGAGGAGAAGGGGATGACATAGGACGAGATGGTTGGACAGTGTCACTGAAGCCACCAACATGAATTTGACACAACTCTGGGAGGCAGTGGAAGACCGGAGGGCCTGGCGTTCTCTGGTCCATGGGGTCACGAAGAGTCAGACACGACTTAACGACTAAACAACAACAACAACAATGTCCAGTAGCACTCTGGAGACATTCACTTGGTACAACTCATCCACCCTTCTGGTGAATGGTTCTTATTTATTTATTTACAATGTTCATACCTCAGTTTCTCCCTGAAGAGCACTTACGGCTTACAATATTAAATCAGATGGTATAGAAACTGGAAGTGAGGGAAACAAGAAAAGAAAGCACTCTTTAGGAAGTGAGCTGGTAAGAAAAAGCCTGCTGGTATATTAAGGACACTGCTTGAAGAAGCCTTGCAGAGGGTGTCTTGTGTGATTCCTATCTTAGACAAACTAGGACTGAATAATGGTTAGTCGAGTGATAAATGTCTGTTTGAATGGAGTATGCACAAATCCTAGCAAAAAACTACTCCTGAGTAGAAAATGCAGCACAGAGGCATCAGAGTGGACTTTTATTTGAACTCTTAAATGCCCTGCTGCATATTTGTGGCAAAAAAGGTAAGAATATGTCATAAATTGTTAACAAAAAAAGCAAACTAGAGTAGAAATTTAAATATTCCTGTTCCGAGCCATACTCACATGACAATACAGGGCCAGATTGTTGTAACCTGGCAAAGACTCTGGTGGTTTTGAGCATGTCTGTTCGATTGTGGCCAGTATTTATTCTCTTATATTTACACAGTTGTAAAATGTCCATGGATACTGAGGGATAAACTTCATCCTTGGTTTGGAAACAAATTTAATAGGTTGTTTTTACTATGTTTTAAGGTTTTGCTTGTGTAATAAAGTGTTTGCTGCCTGGCTCTTGGATCATATAAGTAGATTCAATCATCCAGTTAAATCAGTACAGTGGACCCTCTACTTAAGGAATTAATCCGAATTGGAATGGTGGCTGCAAGTCGAAAAGTCTGTAAGTCGAATCTCCATTGACCTACAATGCACTGAAAACGGATTAATCCCATAACCAGTGGGTTTTATTCTATTTTTATTCCATTTTGTTTTTTTTCTGGTCTGTAAGTCGATTCTCTGGCTGCAAGTCGAATCTAAATTTTGCAGCCAGAGAAGTCTGTAACTCGAAAAGTCTGTAAGTCGAGCCGTCTGTAAGTCGAGGGTCCACTGTAATTGACTAGGTATCGTTACTTTCCTGGCGTAATGAAGTCCACTATACAGGTATAGTGATACACTTTCGGGATGTCATTAGCGTCTGGAAAATACTTGAAGGGTGCTGGCCATTCTCCCCATATTGACCTTGCTCTTATAAAATGCAATCAGTTTGTTGAGTACTGATAAAATACATGATGTTACGCAAGTATGAACAGTTTAACAATTACTAAAATAAAACACATTACAAAAGCACAGCTGCTGGGTGAGTTAATGGGAAATTGATTTCATAATGTTGTATGCGGTTTTTAATTTCCTAAATTGACAACAAATGATAAATGAGAAAGGACAGTGGTAATTTTTAACAGTAAACTTTAGTTATTGTCAAGTAAAGTAGAACCTTCAAGTGATCACTAGAGGGCCATCTAGGCTAGACTTACAGCAAGTGATTTGCAACAGCCAAAAATTCTTGCCTGTGTTCTCATTATAAAGTAGTATTTTGAAAGCTGCTTCTATATCTACTGGGAATGCTAATTTTACTATATCTATAAATTATTTAAAATATCCCATCTTTTTTGTTAAATTATGATCTAATGTTCTGAAACAAATTCTGATCTATGCACTAGTCCAGCATCTCCTGCTAGATTTAAAGTTGTGTCGAGGCACTAGTCTTTTCTTTGTAGGGTGTTGGTGAAATACAGGTAGGTATATGGAGTGTTCATTGGGTTGCATGTGTTAGTAACACTTAAGAGAACAGATGTTGTAAGAGCCCTACAAGAATGACTAATTTTCATGCACAGAGGAAGTTTGGCTTAAGACAAAACAGGACTGAAATGAGTGAAAAATGCTTCATAATACATAAAAGCAGAAAGCCTTAATAGTTTATTACAACACTTCATAAAATGACTTGTCTCTCCACCCTTCGCTCTCACTTCCAAAGCAGGCTTCGGAGAAGTTTTTTTTTAAATATTAAATTGCTTTGAAATACAAACAGAACTCCACTGCCTAGCAGTTAGATCCTAGCCAAATTATTGAGCAACAGGTATTATCTTTTTAATGAAACTTTATAAAATGACACTCCACATATTTAAATCTTGTATCAATCTTATGTGTAGTTCTCTGACAGTAAACTCTAAGCATTATGATAGGATTTTATTTTTGATAAACAGGCAAATCATTGACATGTGGTTGCAGTTCTTAACTGGATCATGATCCACATGTGAAATTGACTTTCTACAAATGAAAATTTTGATTTAAAACACACAAGGTTAAAATGGTTATGACTGTATTTCTGCAAAACAACACTTTCACCATAAAAGACTTTTGTGAAAGAAGTTTATTTGTAGGCTTCTGCCACTAGATGTTAAAGAAAATTGCAATAAACACAAACTAAACACAAAATCTTGTAGTAAAACACTGGTATTTGACATTAACAGAAAATGTCATTTGTCGGTAAATTCAGTGAATATTTATTTTCTTAGTCTGCTGACTTATTTTAGAGGCATGGTAGGTTCATTTTTGTGTCTTCGTGGAAAGGAAACACAATGATCAAAATCCTTTTGTGTAGCATAGTAGATTGCACTGAAATAGGCCCATTGACTCAGTGGGGGGTTGGGGAGTCAACTCTTCTGTAAGTTTCATTGATTCAAACAGACTTGCTCTGACTGTGACTTACTTTAGCATAAGTCACAGAGTGGGCCCATTTGAATCAATGGAACTTAAAGAAGAGTTGACTCACCAGACCTCATTGATTCAGTGGGCCTGCTCTAGAATGATTTGCTATGCCAAGCAACAGGATTTTGACCAATGAATCTTGACTGGGCTCACTTCTGCTACTTCTGGAATTATTTTATGCCAAATTGACTGTGGCTGGGACTTGTGCTATCTATGTTCATATTCTATGATCCTTAGGATCACGTGAACTCAGGATTGTAGCTGTTATTTCTGCTTTTGAAGATGCTGGCCTGAAATTGTATTTTCTTCCTCTAAGGTTAATATAATCCTCCAGTTTTGAAGCTGCAATCTTAATACTCATCATGAAAAAAAGCAACCGTCAAACTTTGTGGCCATAATCTTGTTGAATTTCTGCTGAACAGAGAGTCCTGACAGTGAAGTAATGTGTTGTCATGTGAAAGTGTTGTCATTGCACAAGTGGTGATCTCTATGAGGAAAATCTAATGCTTGAGCAGCTTGTGCAAGTGGCATGATCCTACATTAACTATGGTAGTAGTATTTTCCATCCATTGGAAGCTTAATGGGATAGTGGTAGGTGGGAAACATAAGACTACACTGTTTCTTGGACAGAGTTTTCCAGCTTTATATCAACAGCTGCCATTAGATCACAACATCCATTATAACTCATGTAATGTCCGGAGGTGGTCAAGGTTAAAGGTATGATGGGAGTCCGCCTCATGTGGTGATCATGAAAAGGGTAATGCTGCTTTGGGATGTTATACTGTGATGTTCGCTTTCTCTGTTGCTGCTTCTGAATCCAGAAGAAAGGAGAAAGATGTGTTTTATTACCATGGAGAGTTGTCCTATCTTCCACTTAACAAATCCAGATGACACATCTGTGCATTTCTGGACCTTTTCCTTCTTTCCCCATTCATTCTTCATGTGGGGCCTGAAAGTGGCAACAGAGAAGATTAGTCATTTGTATTTCTTTGATTGGATCTACTCAAACTTCTACCACTGTCAGTTTGCCCTCACCTTCATTGCATTGTGGTGGTCTACGCCCATCATAACCAAGACAGACTCAAAGCATGGCATCAGACAGGACAGCTGCACTACTTTTGCAGAGCACACATTTTGTACAGAAACAGTGTCAGACAGCATTTGCCGAACAGAGCAGAGAAATACGCAGACAACCAGAACAACATTCAAGTGGGAAAAGAACATGATGGAGTCACCACAGAGCTCATTTCTTGCCAATGACGTGTCCAAAAGTTATTTGTAACTAGAAACAGTTCAGTAGTTTAGTGCCTAAATAGCCTAGTTCCCCCGCCCCAGATTGTCATATATTCTTTTTTAAAATTGCCAATCATGCTTTGATTTTGAAGCTGGCAAAATATGCTGCAGTTTCGCAGTACAAACCAAAAGCTGTTCTTAAGTTATTCCATTCCTTGCAAGTAATCTGTAGGCTGGAATGTTTTCAGAAGTGTGATAGAAGTTTGTGAAGAGGTACAGAAACTAGATGCCTAAGGAATCCTCTGTCTAATTCTAATTAATACCGTTTAGGTAAACAGTTTAATAGAAATCAGTTTGTACTTCACTGAAGAATTAGTATGGAAAAAGATTAAAGGAAATGGCAACTGTTGTCATATGGAGCCAGTGGGTTTATAGGCAGTGATGGATCATCCAGAGAACATCAACCAGAATGTTCGAAAACACCACAAAAAACACTCTGGCATTTACTTGGCAAATAACTTTCACCCGTAACATCTGGCCAATTTTAAGTGATGGAAGACATCGCTATAGTCAGGCAGAACCAGTTTGACAGCTGGATCTTATGGATCTTTTGAGAATCAAAAGGACCCATGATTTCAAGTGCTTACCATAGTGACTGCAGTGCTGCCCTCTCTAAGCAGCAAGCCGCCTTTCCTATTTTGAAGCTGCAGAGGTGGGTGGGACGTACTCTAGCAATTATATGACAGCCCCTACTCAAATCCCATTTCTAAGACCTGTTGCAAAGACTTGGTTTAGTCACTTGGGAGTGGGACAGCAAGACACCAACGCAACCTTTCTTACACTGGAAGCCAGCACCGTGGTCTTCCAGTGACTGATGGGCAGAAGCAACTGAGCCTATTAGAAAGGCAGGTGTAAAGGATTTGAAGAGGAATGATGAATTCAGAAGTTGTGATTTTCCAGCTGACGTAGTGAGGCAAAAAAAAGAACACTCCAGCAATTACTAAGAATGCAGATGACAATTCAAAGACAATAGAGCCAGTCCCCACTAACCATTACATCCATCAAAATTCAGATGGTTTTCAGGCTTGTCTTTTAGATCTTGAGTTTTAGCAGTTTTATTTTATTCATTCATTCATTCATTCATTCATTCATTCATTCATTCATTTATTGCGCTTCTGCCAATCTAGACGTTGTCTACTCTGGGCAGCTCACAACAGACAAGATAAAAACAGTTAATATATAATAACAGTTTTATAGCAATATACAGTGGTAACAATAGTTCAAGATGGGAAGAAAAATAAGTACAGTGGACCCTCGACTTACAGACGGCTCGACTTACAGACTTTTTGAGTTACAGACTTCTCTGGCTGCAAAATTTAGATTCGACTTGCAGCCAGAGAATCGACTTACACACCAGAAAAAAACCCAAAATGGAATAAAAATAGAATAAAAACCACTGGTTATGGGATTAATTGGTTTTCAGTGCATTGTAGGTCAATGGAGATTCGAGTTACAGACTTGTCGACTTGCAGCCACCATTCCAATACGGATTAATTCCTTAAGTAGAGGGTCCACTGTAGTGCCTGGAGGGAAGGCCTGTCTGAATAACCAGGTCTTAAGTTGGTTTTTAAAAATGCCTAGCGAGGGGGCCAAATGGATCTTGGAGGGAGTTTGTTCCAAAGAGAAGGAGCCACTGCCAAGAAGGCCCGGTGTCTTGTTTTTTCTTTCCGAACCTCCCTCGGCATTAGGCTCCTTAGTCGCCCCTCCTGACTGGATCGAGTGGTATAGCTAAATCTAGGTGGGAGGAGGCGTTCTGCCAAGTATCAAGGTCCTAAACCGTTTAGGGCTTTGTATGTAATCATTCAAATTTTGAAATCAGTGCGGAAGCGAACGGGCAACCAATGCAAGGCGGCCAGGGTGGGAGTGATATGTTAGTGTTTCTTCACCCCACTGAGAAGTCTGGCCACCACTTTCTGCACCATTTGGAGCTTTTGCATCAATTTCAAAGGTAACCCCATGTAGAGCACATTACAGTGGTCTAATCTCAAGATTACGAGCGCATGGACCAGAGTGGTGAGCGCTCCAACATCAAGATAGGGTTGCAGCTGGGCAATCCGCTAAAGATGGAAATAAGCGGAACGGACCACTGACACCACCTGAGTTTCCATGGTGAGCACCGGGTCCAGATGTATCGCCAAGCTGCGAACCTCACTCACAGTTGTACAGCCAGCTGAGTTCCTGGACAAAGCTGCTGCTGTTTGGCAATTGAAATTGTCATTTGGCAAATGGATCAGTCAGTGAAATAAAAAGAAACAGCGATGCCCCTGAAATCTTCCCTGGTGTGCCATCTATTGAGCAGGAGACAAAGGAGGGTGTGGGTGCTCTTGGAAGAACAATCTCTGCCTCCACACAGTTGCTGGAGATTGTTCTTGCTTTGTGTAGCAAGATGTGAGCAAATCATGCATCTGGTTTTTTTAATGCTTTTATTGATATACTGTCTGTGTTTGGGGAACACAATAGGAAGTATTGGGCTAACTGGGCCACCCACAGTAGGGGATAGAGGTGTCGGAGAGATGCAGAGGAAGATGATGATGGTATCAGACAGCACCTCTTCTCTCACTTGCCCCCCCCCCACTCTACAGGACAGTATGATGGGATAGCTTAGGTTTGTTAGGCCCATTCCCACCCAATACTCATGAAAAGGTGAGATCACTGCTCTTTCCATCACCTGCCTTTTAAAAGTATGTTGCAGTAAATGTGTACCGTATGTTCGTTTTTTAAAAATTGTGTTGTTTTCTTTTTTGAATATTTGTATACTCTCATGGAGAAGTAGAACTATGGATTAAAGAAGTCACTCGAGCTCATTGTGGCTGTAAGGAAAAGATTAGATTAATAGGAAATTCCTCCAGACTTCTTGGCTAGGTTTTTCAGTGGCATTATTACAGAGGTGATAGTGGCATGTCTGTAGATAACTCAGATGGTGAAGTATTAGCTCAGATATGAGGTTTAAGGGGGCTTCAGTTGGAAAATATGTTTAAAATTTAAAAGAACAACATTCTACTGAAACAACACAGTCAATAAAAAAATGTTACAATAACATTGCTTTCTCTGTTAAAAATGTTTGCCTTTTTCCTTAGGACATTGTACCAGTGGATGCCTCTTATGAAGTTAAAGAACTGTATGTGCCTGAAAACAAACTTCAGTTGGCCAAAACAGATGCAGAAACTTTACCCACTCTGGAAATAAATAAGGTAATAAAGTTCACAGAAGTAAGTAGTTTGCTTGCTGTTTGTAGCACATTGAAGGTTTGTCAGTGTGACTCCTGTTACATACAGCACTGATGGTACCTGTCTGTCATGGGTTTGGAGGGAAAGTTCCATCCTATGGGGAGTGGAAGGCGGGACATCAGGGAGGAGGGGCTGTACTGTATATATAT